AGCTATAATAGAATTTGTCGCACGCAGGGATGCGTACTTGGTGCTGTATGAGCTGTTCATTCACTGCAAGTGGTAATACTCTATCCTCTAGGTTCAAAGAAGGGAGAGAAGCGCATGCTGGTGGATATTCACATTAAAGCAAATAATTCAGGAGTATTCTGACAGAGGCTTCCATTGATATCTTGTTCTTCGGTGTAGGTCTGCCCAAGTAAGTCAATTGTAAATAGAAATCAGATAAATATGAGCAGCAACTGAAGGCCAAAAGGCCAGACAACGTACTGTCAACATCAGATATCACCCATTACTTCAGATGAGGTATGTAGATCAGCAGGGACATTGACGCGTATTCATCATCAATGCCAGAGCTTTAGGAGTGGCGCTAAAGTCCTGAGTTGGACTCAAGTGGTCACGTCTGATTCCTTACCTCAAGACACTTGTCTGTTTATAGGGATAGAGCACTTAAGTCTAGGCCATTGAACTGGGATCAGACTTCTCCGTAGAGATACTTTCTTAACGAATCTGGATTTGGAATATGCAGAGATTTTGGTACCCGTTAGGGAGAGTCATAGAATATATTTCAGATTCATATTCAATGGACTGCTCTTCCAATACAATCATGTACCGTTTAGGGTAAATTGTGCCCCTCATGTGTTCACAAAGTTAATAAAACTATTTCTGGAATACCTTAAGAAAAAATTGAGCACTCACAGGCTCAGTATGAAATTGTGACAGAAAGAAAGTACTTTACTTGAGCGAATGATGCAGACATTACTAAACCTGGTAAAGGCAATAATGGACAGCAACCAAGACAGAGTCCGAAACTTTGCAGTGAACATCGGGATCTTGGTGTCAGCTTGTCTTTCATTTCGTTACAGCCGACTATACACTAACGAGTGACATTTCTTGCGTTGTAAAATTCTCAAGGGTTTTTAATGCTACTATGTCACTAACACAATATAACTTAAGGTCTACCTCAGCTGGGGCTCAAAGAAACTGGCAGATGCGGTCAGAGGTATTGAATTATCCAATTTTTAGTTGTATAATTTCTCGGACAGAGACATTCGGTGGCCAGAGAAGAGTTTCATAGCTTTTGGTCACCCGAGAAGAAGATCCCGCTTGCTCATCAAGAACCACTGGTAGTTTTCTTCTGTGGTGACTGCTTTGCTACCAAATTGATGGGCTGTCGCATATTGTACCCCATTCTACATCAATAGACTGGAGAGCTTCTAGTTTCCACGCCTGGACCAGGTGGCGGGAAAACTATGGCAATTGTGTAAAGAGAGAAGTCTTACTGCCCTCGCGTCAAATATAAAATCGAGGAGTAATACTGGTACAGAGGAGCTTTTGCGTCAGTGGGACGTGGAAACGGAGTGGGAGCTACACCTGTCACCGTCCTGATTTTGGTTCTAGTATTCGGTGTTTCTGAAATTGCACTTCTAGAAGTAACGCAAGGATCTGAAGGAGGGACCCAGGACGCCGCTCCCACTAATTCTGAAGCTTACCCTGGTTATCGTCACTGGATAGCTGTCATTCCAATCAGCATCGATAATCCCTCGTGTATTGTGGGACTGTAGGACCTTTGTGGGGAAGAAATACTTGTCTGATTATCTACCTTGAAATTTATTACCTTACAGTGTGATAAGAGATCAAGATATAATTGTTTGAGCTATCAGTCTTTTATCCAAAATGTTACTAGCGATGCAGACATAAGATGGTTTAAGTAGGGCATTTACAGGCTGAGGCCATCTTAACTGAAATATAGATACTGTGGTTATTCTCAACCAACCAGGAGGTTGCTGGTAAGCTCTGTAGATATTTGGATAAGGAAATCAGCAACACTGCTAGCTCTTACCTCAGGTCAGAGTGTGCAAACTAATTGAAAGAGACAACATCCGGATTGGGTTGAATAATAGTGAGAATGGGATTTCTCAGTTTTTGAAAGTCTCGGGGTCACTCATGTGGCAACCACTTTTAGTTTTACCGTATTTTACACCCAAATACTGTTTGTCACTGTACAGTAAATTTATCATGGTGCCTCTGCTCCCAGATGGATGAAGTCGGTTTTAGCAGAGAGTGTCACAATTGACAGGCCACAGTACATGGAATGCGTCTACCTCTCCGCTTGCTAAATTATAGTAGTCTCAGGCTTGCGGCGGGCTGAAGTGCGTTTTCTGAGATACGACACAAATCTCTTATGCCAAACAATAGCGGCATTTGAGGTGAACCAAGTCTCCACACCTTAAACATAACTATTTTATTACCTTATTTGCTTATTACCATGTAATGGATGGTAATTTTTGAACCAGATACGTCATATTACCTGTTGCTAAAAGCCCTAACTTGAGTTGTTACAATGGAAGTGTACATTTAGTTGACACATACATTGCGTACAATTTGTGTAGTTGTGTACAACCTATCGTTTACTATTGCAGAGCGTTAGTATGTTGTTGCAACTAGATTTGAATTTCTACAATATGTATTCTAAATATTTACTTCGACCAGAGGGGGAACATAATTACATGATCAAACGAACTTACCTGTAAGTGATGTTCGATCTTAATTATGTGAAGTCCCCGTCGAAGTAAATACCTCCCTCGCTCCCTATGTATCACCTAATTGTTGCAGCAACTTGGCTTTGAAGAAAATTAATGTTTATAGGCGGCCAGAGGGGAGGAAGGTAGGGGGAAGGGGCGCTACTTTTTTCTACCAAACAAGAATCACTCGTAGAAGGTGGATTTGATATAACAAGATAAATATTACTATTTCTACTCTCATGGAACATACAGGTAAATGTCTGACAAGTGAGTAAAGTCTTGTAACTGGAGACTTGTGGAAAGTGCAAAGCCCTTGGAAGGACGTTCGGATGGCTGTCTTTACTCCCCACCAAATAAGAAATCATTAGGAAATTGATATCAACTTATAATATATCACAGTGAAGCCATGCATATTCACGTTTTCAAAAGGATATATTGAGAACTGAAACTTTGCAAGGCTACCATAACATCATATTGGATTTTTCTTTTTTTTGATTAAACATAAACATTCAAAATTCTGTCGCAAATCGGTGTCTCTCGAATGGGAGAAAACCTTCATAACACAAGTCGACAAAAGTAGTTCCTATCTATCATGCACAAGCCTTAAAATATTCTCGCTGGTTCGTATTCGTCAAAGTACTCAAACGAAACTTTGCTTTGCATAATTTCTAGGTTTTTTACACGATAATAACCCAATTGGGAAAGTGCTACCATCTAGATGCAAAGTCAATACTTGTAGTCTCAAGACTTATATGTACTTCTCTTATCTTATATGAAAATTTCCCCTCTGATGCAGTTACTCAATTAACAAGTGCTACTTCCAAGTAATTCCAGAGTCTAAGCCTTATCGCTAGAACCATTATTCTCTAGATCTCGCATGAACATTTTTTCCTTTGCTCAAATGAACAATGAAAAAACTACAGAAACCCCACAGGTTTACTGCCATGACTTGCAGTTTCAAAACACATACATTAACCGTACATCTGAGGCAAGATCCTCAAACGATAATATAAACACGCATGACATCATTCCTCGGAATCACGAAGCTTCCCCACATTAAGTTGCTAATAATGAACCAGTAAGGCACACATAGAGTCACCAACAGGTGCACGTACGGACCTACACGAACACAAAACCCGTGGTTCCAAAACTTTCTCGCCACCTTACAATTAATTTATATCCACCTAATTTAAGCACAGCTTTCGAATTGCTATAAAACTATGTTTGCGTTTACTCTCAAAGTTAACAGTCTGCGGCATCCATTACTAAAAACCAAAAGTGATTTTTACACCATATCCGTGACAACAGGAATGATTAAATTCTAAAGCATCTCAATCGAGATCACTTAATAGCTTGAGGCTTTCATTTTACTGTGGTGCCGTTCAGCCTCGTACCGTTTCTGACATTGTCTCATCTAATAACCTCATTCCCTTAACTAGTCAATCTACTTGACGTCATCTATTGTTGCATGTTGGAGTGTTTCACTCTTCCGCATATCTATGAATTAGTCAACCTACTTGACGTCACTTGGCCATGATCTTAGCTATGTCTTTCAAGTTCATTTTAAGATGAAATCAAGATATCGAAAACAATTTGCAAAAATGTCCGACAGAACAGTTGTGAAGTTTATAGGGTAACCTTGACAATGACCTTCAAATTCGAGTAATTTTGTTTAGAGGAAATCTCATTTTTATATTTTAAATGGAAAAAGCAGGAATTCTTACGTCCGAATATGACCTTGGCATAAATTGACATTTAAGCTTGACACGACCTTGACTTTGAGATCAAGGTCACATTTGGACGTAAAAGTTCCTAACTTTTCCCATTTTCAATATAAAAACGAGATGTTTCTTTCGGGAATTTTGACTTGATGTTGAACATCGTGGTCAAGGTACTGGTCAAGGTCCCATTGGGGTGATCCCCACAAATCACGCAACTGCGCTGTCAAACCTTTTTGCTACTGCAAATTGTTTTCAATGTCCTGCCTGGACCTGGGAATGGCCTTGAACGAAATAGTTAAGGTCATGGTGATGGTCATACTCACACGTAAAATTTCCTACTCTTTTAAATTCCAGTGTAAAAATGGGAGTTTTATTTGAAAACGTTTGCCTGACTTTGAAATGACCTTATAGGTCGTAGCGAAGGTCATTATCAAAGTCACCGTCATTTTGTCCCGTTTGAATTAATTTTTTTTTCGAGCATGTCTAGAAAAATTGGAAAGACCCTGCTATGATTCCATTTGGATTTTTAAATTCCAAAATTTGTCAGCTATGTATTCAAACAATTTGTCACGCAAAATCTTGGTACCCCAATAATGTTCCTCGTTTGTGTGATTAGTTGTTTCAGATCATCCATCACGTCGTTTCCTTCTTTCTCTGATGAAACTTTTAATAAAAGAAGACCTTCACGTAACATTGTAGCATCTCCCATTCACGAATTGATATTACGTCTTCAAAACGTTATTACCTTCTGTACTTGGAGTAGGAATAGTTGCCATAATTTTTTCTACTTGGTTCACCGTTGAAGTTCCAGGGAATATAGGTTTACCGACAGACATCTCTGCGAGTATACAACCTAAACTCCACATATCTATACCTTTAGTGTACCTAAAAAGGAAATATTGGAATAGTAAGACAGTCAAAATATGCAAGGATGGCTCATAAGAAAACAGCACGATTGATATAGGAAAGTAAAAAGTTCATATATTGCGTGCTTGCTAGCTGACTTGTTAGGCATATTGCGTATTTTGTTATATCAGAATACCATACCTTCTATTTGCTATTAGAATTTCTGGTGCTCTGTACCATCTTGTTGCAACATAGTCGGTAAGAGTGGGATCACATTCTCCTATTGTTCCTTCCGAGCCTTGGGTAAGTGATCTTGCTAATCCAAAATCTGCAATTTTGCACCTGAAATAATCAACGAATGTAAACGCAATTAAGAATTACCGAATACTTTAAACTTAAAATATTAGTTTCAGAGTGTCAGTGTCAGAATATAGTGCTAGTTGAAGATTATTGATATTAACACGTTTACGCGTATGTGGCAGATATAATCCTAATTGCAAAAACTGGATCCATCAAAAAAGTGTGAAACTCTATATAGATAAGCGGCATAAATACATGAAGTGTCCAAGCATAGTAAGTCATTAAAGTGTTCGTTTCCCTTATTTTATGTGATTACTAGAGTGTTACAGTTGGTTCACTTTGCAGCAGTACCACTTATCGATCGGGCATTTCAAATCGACCATGAATTTATTGTCGAAACGAAAATTATAAGAAAATACAGAGGTACAGTGAAACCTCAACACAAAATGACATTTTTATTTATGGTAATAACAAATAATAATCATAAATAAACAGAGGTAAATCACAGCAGATGCCTGACTCTTCTCTGTACATTCTTCTATGTTCGATTTATTTATCTTCTTCTCAGTCTTCCAAACCCTGTTACTATGTTCAATTTGAGGTCTGGTATGGTATACGAAATAAATGACTATGATAATTTCAAGGCCTATCTAGGAAATTCTGTTTTTTGGAATAATTGACGTTTAGCAATGCCAATTTATACATATTAAACATTTTTGAAATCAGAATTGAATACTCTATTTATCTACGCAAAATTCCAACATGGCATGAGAAAAATACAGCTGATGCTGGAGGACAAGAGAGAAAATGTCATATTGAAATTCTAATTATGCCATCTTGTAGAAACAGTGGCATTGTTAATGTGCAATTTATTTCAACATCCAACTACAAATAAAGTCAAGAAAAAACTAAAACGATTTTAGGAAAATCCATTTTTTTCCTGCCTCTCTCCGGAAGTACTTTGAATTTCGAAACTTTCTAAGCGGCTTTTTGTTGGTTACCTAAATATGCAACTTTTCCCCTCATTTAAGCCACTTCGTATCGCTTACCGTTTCCGAGATACCGATGGTGAGTGTCGGATTTGAAACACCCGGTATATAGGGCTTAACACTTTTTAGACGGCTCCGGTATTTTCGCTGATTTATTTAGGATTATACATACTACGGATGTATGTGAACGCGGTCATTTGCAAGCATACTTGTAGAGCTTTGCAGGCTGCCATTATAAACTTAAAATTACACTAGGCAAAAAAAGTGAAACTTACCTACATAGGCTGTCCAGAAGTACATTGCTGGGCTTCAAATCTCGATGTATTACGTTACCAGAATGTATGTATTTGATTGCTTTAAGTAGTTGATACATTATATACCTTTTATGGATGTCCTTTAGAATATTCCCCCTTTTTATCACATTATGCAGATCTGTCTCCATATATTCAAATCCTAGATATATGTCTCTATTGTTGGCAGCTCTGCAAAATCAAATGCAAGTTAGAAAATATTTACAGGTAAAAATGCCAGCGGCATATCCCTTTCTTAAAATAATATTTTAGCGCATTCTAATATTGCCAATTTGAGAGTATCTTTGAGCAATCGCATAATCAGATAGGCTTATTCTGTTTGGATAGGTCAATGGGAGAATGAAAGAGAGCCAAGAACTTCATACTATTTGACAGATACTATTATTGTTTATCAGAGATACTGGGAAACTGTGTCGTTTTATGCTATCGACGTAGGGGTTGGTAGCATCGCGTGTAGTGAATAGGTGGCAGCGTCTATTCCCAATGACTAGACCCATACCGTACTGGTGACTGGCAGAACGCATGAAACAACGTTGTATACGTTTGGTTATAACCACAGAGACCAGCAACCAGCTACTATTAAATAAGTAAAACTGAAGAAATAAGGAATTCCATAAATTTCTTCAAACCTTTTTAAGTACATACAAAAAAGAGTGATCTTGGCTTAAGAACAACTATCTTCAATTGAGGACCATGCCTTTGGTATGTATCTAAGACATATATATCTTTGAAATAAGGTCAATTTCTCAATTGTAAGCGCCACGTTTCTTTAAAACAACGAAATTACCTCACTTGAAGTGTCTCTGATCTCGAATCAATATCATCATAACATAGAAACTCATGCCTTTGAATCAATAACACTATTTTTTGTGTGTAAAAAACAATTTTTGACCTACCTGAGGTAGCTGATTTGCAGACTGTCATACTTCAGTGTATTTTTAGATAAAATATCCAATAGCTCAACAACTAATAAATAATGAAAATCCCTAAGTATGTTATATCGATCTTCCTCTTTTAAAAGGGTCTGTTCGAATGTGTGATAGATAAGTAGTGGGTATTTTGCCTTTATGAATGAGATGTGACAAAAACTGCCTTTCAGAATTTGAACGTGAAATTTCGCGCCAAAGTTGAGACGTAATAAGTTCTAGTATGACATAAGATGACGTAATAAGTTTTAGAATGTTACGCTGGGAATACACTTCAGCCGAGGTAAGCCGCGCACCGAACGAGGCAGCCGCGATGTGATTTGCCGCGCAACGAAATGCGATACACCGAAACAACGTGTTGCCGCGGCATGCTCACAGCTGATCCGTACAGGGGCACATGCTCAGTGATTACTTATATAGTAGAGCGGTTCATTTTGATTTCCTTTTCCTTTGTTTTATTACTTCGTTTACTTGTAGAAGATTAGAAGATGTCGACGAAAACTACATAAGCTTGATTAATTTCATTGAATTGACTGAGGGAACTGAAATAAAAATCAAATTATTAATTTATCTTTCAGATCGAATTGGAACAATGAAAAATGATTAGATTTAAGTACAGAAGTTAGTGCCACAATTTGTAAATAACCACAAATTGAGTCTATATTCGCCCTGAGGCAAATGCTGATCGAAAATTCCGTACACACTGCGCACGAACGAGGCACGGCTCGGCCGGTGCTCACTTTGATGGACTGACAGCGTTTCGCCGGGAATACACTTGCGCCGAGGCAAGCCGCGATACGCACAGTTGCGAACAGGCTCGGTTTGCCTCATGCGATGCGCGACCTGAGCCATCGGCTGTCGGTTCATCAAAGTGAGGACCAGCCGAGACGTGCCTCGTTTGTGCGGAATGTGTTCGGAATTTTCCATCAGCATTTGCCTCAGAGCGAATATAGAGCCGCGCCAGCAGGCTATTTTTGGTAATTTACAAATTGTGTTATTAATTTCATTTTTCGTTGCTCCACTCCGTCTGCAACGGGGTATGGAAAGTTGAAAAAAAGAAAACTTTTATAATATTAATGGGAGGAATGAAAAAAAATTTTACTGATGGAACCATGGCTTTGTAGCTATGATAACTTTCAATTCTCTGAACTTTTCCGCATGTCAAAGAAAATATTTATTGATTTAGCAGAAATGATGAAAAAGCGATGAAAAAAAGATATTAACAAAACCGTATACAGGTGGACATCATCCAGTGAGTTTATACGGCCATATTTTAATATTCTTGTGGTATATGGCTATACAGGATACTGCTTTAAGTGTAGGAACTCGATTTAAAATGTCCCCAACAACAGTGATGATTATAAATAATAAGGTGCTCTCTTATGCTAAAACTGAAGTCAGCCTGTATCAAGTTTCCCAAAAATGAAGCTGAAGTACAATAAAACTATCCAATACCCGGCAAAATTCTAACTTGTCACATGTCAAATAATAACCAGAAAATAAAACTACTCCGGAGTTGGGTAAATACCACAATTTTGCGGTGATAACTATGACATATAACAGCTGATTCATGACGTCACGGATCTTATAACCAATCTGATAACCACACTTGCTTGAACGGATCGGTAAATACCAATCCAAAATGGTAAATACCATTTCCATTTGGTTATCCGCTTGAATTTGATTAATACCTTTGACAACAAGTAATTTTGGTCTCCTAGGACACCAGAAAATAACGCTAAACATTTTTCTGATTTTATTGTCAATAAATTTTGTAATACCGTTTTTAAAAAGTGCTAGTCAGCTTATGTAATGAATCGCTTTGGAAAGTGATTCTTTGATTAATATCGATCTGGCGATTGAGAAAAGTGTACGTACAATACCGTTAAAACCCATACGTTAATAAGGAAACAGTTTAAGGAATTTCTCAGCTTCTCACTTATGCTTCTTGTCAAAATATTCCTTAGCAACGTGTTTTTTCCATTTTTTTAGAAAAAAATAGATGCCCTTATGATTATTATAAATCTTGTGCTAAATTTCGTACAAAATTTTGTATGAATAAATTTGGTGCTAAATTTTGTAGAACCTGTTCTAAACAGTATTATACTGAAAGTGCGCGAACGACTACTACGCATTTGGTCATTGGGAGCAGTACAATGACAGATATAACCTCAAACACTTTCATTACTTGATGATCTGAGTTATGTTCATCAGTTTCGCGAAACTCCCTTGCGTATGCTGTTCTACTTTAGATTGAAGACTTAAAAGATGTCATGATCAAAAGAGCAGTGTGACATACTACTAACGAGTATAAGAAATATGATTGTTTATATGCTGAAAAAAGCAAGACCTATAAAACCAGAAAAGTCAAATTATCACAATGACTTAAGAACCAATTAGGCTTATAAGCACTTGAAGTTCTTTATTCAGCATATGGAGAACACACATGGCCTGTCTCTCCTCCTGATCCATTTTCGGAACGGAATTCTTTTACGGTTTCGGTTTCGTTTACTTCGTTTTCTCATGAGTTGGGCAGCTACAACAGGGATCGCTGCTGCCGCAGTCGCATATAATATATGCGAATTTTAGGATCGCTCTATTTTATACAATTTTCTATTCATTTGAGTGTGGTTAGAATGACTTTGACTTGATAATGGCAGTTAGAAGTTGACAGTTGTAGTTTTTTTCTACCACCTGCGCATTATTTCGTACAAAATTTAGTAGAAAAAATTATGTACGTGTCAGACAGTATTTTAATTTGTAAACAAATTGGGAAATAAATTCAGTAACGATTTTTTTTACGACATTTAGTACCACATTATGAACAAACTTTTGTATCGTGACAGACAACCTTTACTTAATAATCCCCCATATTTTTCTGGAAAATCGGAACCACAAGTGGTGGAAAAAATCTTCTTTATTGTGAACGTTTCGGTCACAATGGTGACCTTCTTCAGTACAACGACTTTGACAATATATTTTATTTATCCGTCTTCCAGGTAATACTTTGTCTGTATTTTCTTTTCATTTTCATATTCCTATACAGTGTGTTACTATAATAGTGTGAAAGGTGCCGTAACATGTTGGGATTGCGCGAAGCGATCATTCCAAATATTAACATGGCACCTGCATCGGCTTGGACTGTCAGGGGGGTAGACATCCTCGCTTCTAAAAAAAGATCGTCCATCTCTCCAAAATGACAAACGAGCATGAGGTTATCTGTCGTTTTTTGGGTGTACCAGATACGATGTGCTGTCTGCTGAAGGTCGCCATTGTGACCAAAACGATGCCTTCAACAGTGCTGTATTGAGCAGCATTTCATGAGCGTATTTTTATTGAAGAGAGAAACCGTGAACATTATGGAATCATCATAAAATTGGGGTTTAATGATAGATAAATATGCTTTATTGTCTGAAGAATACAATCATTCTTGAAGACAAAGCTAATTTGGAACTAATCTATAACAATTACATACGTGGATCTTATCTGGTGCACTGTAGAACACACACATGGTATAATATGGTTCATATACTCAGAAGTCTTTAAATTCACGGCGGAATATCTTTAAATTGTTATTGCCTTTGACAGCATCAGGGAGGCACATGTACATTTTCAGACCATAATAAATGATTGAGTCTTTCACAAACGTTGACTTAGGTACTAATTTATGTTGGTTCTCGTTTTCGTCTAATAATGCAATTTATATTTAATTTTGTTGCCATTTCTAAAATGAATAATGATACTTGAGAAATTATTTTAAGATTCACAAATAAAAGGCTGCATGTAGGTCTAGGTTTGCTATTAGTAGTATATCTAATAGCTTGTTTTTGTAGAATAATCACTTTTTATAAACAATTTTAAGAATAGACACACCAAAAGGGAATGATATATCTCAATCTAGTTTCAAATAGGGCAAAATAATTGCTTAAGGCTGTACTTTTCCTTACGTTGTATCTAATTGTACTTATTATAAAGGAAGTCTTTGCCAGTTGAGTAAGCAATTTGTCTAAATGATTAGTAAAATCTAATTTATGATCAGTGGTCAGTCCCAAACATTTGATGATGTCCTTTTTGTGCATCGATTCATTATTTAAATTTATAAAATCAAGGGAGCATTTAAAAGTTATAAATTTTGTCTTGTTAACATTGAAAGTCAAGTAATTGTTGTCACAGATCTTTTGATTGATTGTATGTGTCTATCAATTGTTGTCTTGATTTCATTTATATTTGTGCCAAAGCATTGTGGTATCATCAGCAAAAACTAAGAATTTACCATTTATGTTTAAGTTTATTAAATCATTGATATAGACTAAGAATAGGATCAGATCTAATACCGATCCTTGAGGTAGCCCTGCATTTATTATAATTAATTTATTTGAAATATAATGCCTTGATAATTTTACAATTTGGGATCGATTATTTAAATATGTTTTAAACCAATTGAGTGAAGTACAACCATATTCGCTTAACTTTTTTAATAAAACATCGTGGTTTTCATATTCAATCGCTTTGGAAAAGTCGTAAAAACGAGCTATTGAAATATGTTTATAGTTCAAAATAGCATCCGTGGTATTTTTTTGTTTCTGAAATCCAAACTGGTTGTCACTTATAATTTTGTTGATGTTTAGAAAGTCTCTTAATCTAATTTGAACTATTTTTTTCATTATCTTTGCTGTAACAGTAAAATTAAACCGATGGGTCTATTAGGTGAACTTTATGGTAAATTGCTTGGAACTCCTTTATAAATAGGAATAACTAATGATGTAAGATAAACAACTGTATTAAGAGGAATATTTATAAGTTTTGTGAGTGGATTACGAGCATCAAGTGAAGGATTAGCTGTAACATTTACAGGAATTTCATCAATGCCTTATGATCTTTTGTTTTTGATAGATCTACTAATTGCAGTTCATAAATATCCGTAGGATAAACTACTTGTTTAGTATAACAGGATTTATAGGTATGTTGGTGCAAGTAGCAGGTTTGCCTATTAATTCATTCACGACTTTCAATGCTTCCTTGGTTTTATTTCCTGAATTTATTATTTTCTGTTTATAATAATTATTTTTTGCTCAATCTAAAACATGGTTATTCGGGGTTAATAGAAAAAACCGGAACGGTGGATTATCTCAGCAACCGACAAATATAAATGAACCAAATTCTGTGCGGAGGGTTAACTCAACATGCCTCTACAAAATCCAACCCGTACGTCCTCGAGCTCGTTCTGCGGGGCGGCCTTGGGCGCTGAACCGTGTGCGGCCGTGTAGGGGGGGCAACGGGGTGCCGGTCTTGCGGTGGACCGCCTCGATCAGTTTTTGAGGAGACCCGCCGGAAAGCCGGTAGCCCGGCCAATCGAATGATTCGTGGAGCCACAGGTGTCTCGGATGTATATCTGGGACGCCTGCAGCTCAACGGTCATCATGGGCAATGGTACTTTACCCAAC